GCACTCGTTTTCAGTTTTCTGTTGAATAAAATATCAGCAAGTAACACGTCATGTTACTTTGGTACCACTCCACTATTTAACAGTACCAAGTACAGATCGGAAGTGACATCTGTTCCTGTATATTCTTTAACATATTTGCTGCTAGCCTTCAGAGGCTGGAGATAATGTAAGTTATGGTTATATGACTAAACCTGTATTTCAGAGCAGAACCGTTAAACAAAACCATGATAAATGTCAGACATTACTACTTCAGGTGTACCAGGCCTAGGATATCGAATCAAATTTGGGATGTCATCTTTCTAAGCTGCTGTGTTTTCTAGCAACACTATCTCGGGAAAGTGAGAATATTCTAAATACATATCTAGGATCAAGGGACTGCTGACTGTATATTTTCCTTTCCAGCCAGGACATGCAAGTTTGTTTCTCCTTTGCATTGGGAACAAGCACTTGCTGTGCCATGTGACGAGTCTTACCACTTCCTTAATGGCATCGTTTGTTTAGGATCAGGACAAATCTTTAGTCCTTCTTTTAGAGTTTTCAATCCCTGAATGAGTTTCCTCTTTCCTTTTTACCATTTTTCAATAACATCTTAAAAGTGACCGCTCCAGTGTCCTTAAGCATCCATCTGGCGCTAACAGCTTCCCCCAACTCTAACATGATAAAGATTATCAGTAAAGATAGTATAATATGCTGGGCACAGTATGTAAACAGTTTTAATTACATTTGGTAAGAAACTTGTTTGTAAGAGCAGTTTTGACAATCAAAGCTTTTTATCTGCCTGATTCACATAAAATCTGACTCTGGACTTTGAACCACAGCCCTATTGTTAAATAGGAGAGCATGCCTCCAACAACCAAAACTTTCCTAAATTTACATTTAATGTGCGAATCCCATGTCTGTAGTTGAATATCCCTCTTTGAAGTATTGTTTCCCAGGTCCCTGTGGCTGATAGTCACTTTCAGCTAAAACTGAAATCTGGGGAATGAGAGCATGAACCTCCCTAGCTGTGGGGCTGTTGACTGTTGCCTCCCTCTCCTTTTGGGGGAACTGGCATTTGGTTGAAGCTTGCAACACGTGTGCAGCTGCCATGCAGCTCAAAGAGGAGTGGTGCCACTGCCTTTCTCAGATTGGGTGGCAGAAAACTTTGTGTTTTGATTACTTTTACAGGCCTCTCTAGCTCCTTCAGGTTCTCAAAAGCTTTGTCACTAGTGGTGGTGCTTGTTTCTCGAGGCCTTTGCCATGTCCCCTGTTTTGTAGGGTGGCGGGCCTAGAAAGCTGGTTCTGGCAGCTCCATCAGGCACAAATTTGCCTACATTTGTCTCTCCAAGGAATCTTTAAACCCTTTCTTGTCTGTCAGGCTAGGTATACTAATGATAACATCAACCTCCCTCGTGTGATCATTTCCTAAACGGTTCTAGAAAATGAGCTGGATTAATGAAGAGTTATTATGTAAATTGCTGAAGCTACCCAGCTCATTTTGACTGAACACATGAGCTTTTGCCACGACTACTACAACCTGAATGGATGTCTATTGGTCCCTAAGCATCCAGCACATCCCAGTTGCAAGATTATATGCCTTAGTTTAAACCTCATAAACTAAAGCAACTATGACTAAATTTCTGAGAGCATGCTCATATGCTAAGCTAGTTGTATATGACAGCACAAAGCTCTGCATAGGTTAATTTGCTCTGCTGAAAGCTCACGAATTGAAATTTGGCTCGGATATTTGTGCTGTCCATTGCAGTCTTCAGTGAAGTTATACCCTTAGTTCATTTTATTTTTGGTCCCAGTGTACAGAGTCAAGACGTTTGAGTGAAATCTGATTCATTCCCTGTCTGATATCTCACTGACTGCCATGGCTTAGCCTGACTCTCTGCACCAGCTCCTGGCTTTTTCCAGAGCTCTGGAAAGCCACTGCTCCCCACACTGGCCAGCCTTATAGCTAATGCTGTCAGCTAGCAGCAGCTGCGACGCGGAAAATGTTCTCACGTCTTGTACTTTGAAGTCTATGGATGGTACTTGTAACTATCACTCATCCCTGAAACATGCTCCCCATTGCTGAAAATGTTTACAGAAATAATTTGCTGTGGATAGGGGAAAAAAATGCTGGTAATTTAATTGTAGTTGAAAAATTTTCATTTCAACACTCGAGGGGTTCCATCTTCAATGTGAAAATGTCTCAGCAGTTCCGTTACCCTCAGCAAACCTGTATGATGTTACTCAGCATACCCTTGTTTTGCTAAAATTAAATTTGAAATCAGAAGTTAAGCTTTTCAAAAGAACTTCTGCTTTTTGTTTTCTTTTAGATTTAACCTCTCACTTCAAATAAGAGGAGCTTGTTAACATAATTTGCTCTCTTTCTTAGATACTATGTTATGCATTTGCCTGATTTTTAATTTTACCTTTTCCTCTTTATGCTTTGATTTTTCATGTCACACAAATGACACAGTAGCCCTAAATATAGCAGAAGATTGCTCATGGGACTCTCTTAAATTAATCTTATGAAAAGAATTGATTAAACTTAGTTCTTGACTAAAAATTAAATCTTCCTTTTTTCTCTTTGTTTGACTCAAGGTCAATTTTAAGCACCTTTGTCATTCTTCAACTGATAGGCAAAATGTTTTGGAAAACATTTTGAGAAGGAGAAATAACATAGAAAAATCCTTGTTCCCACATAATGTTAAACCCCTGGGGTTCAATCCTGCAGCACACTGGAAGATCAAATCTATAACCTGTTCCTTAAACTTGAGACCTCTCATATGTAAGTTTAAGTGTGTGTTTAAGTATCTGAAAACTTTGTTTTGTCTGCTTAACTGAATCAACCTTCTGTATGGTTATATCAAACTCAAGTGCACTCTGAAAGCATGGTTGGCTCATTTTCAGCCACTGCAGTGCAAAGACCTCCATCCAAGGGAAGATAATGCAGGAGAGATACTAACGGTGGAATCCCCCACCAAATTCATCATGTAGCCTGCTCCGGATAGTTAATTCTTTGTTGCTGCTTCTTGCTGCAGAACACCAAGTCTTTAGAGTAGGTCTTCAGGTCATGTAGTCTGGACATACAACATGAAGAAAACATTACTTCCAAACACAATTCTGTATATTTTTTCTCCCCATCTTCTTAGTACACTTATGGGAGAGATGTTAAGTTGAAAGTGACCCAAGTGAGATCTTCTTTACAGTATGACAGGTTGTTGCCAGGAATTCAACATGAACAGTCAAACAATTTTACTCTTCTGTCTTTAATACAGCATAATGAGATAAGGAAAAAATAGTGTCCTAAACAAATGCAGTACAAAATCAGAGTAATATTCTCTGATTCAAGTAGCAGCATGTGGAAAAGAAGAGAAAAACTTGCTCTGAAGCCAGCCATTTAGACATTGTTTGGCAGAGAGAAAGTCAAGAGTTCTGCTGAAGCACGGAAAGAAATACGTGGAACATGGAGATCAAAGCCAGCCTACACTGTAAGGGGAACCTCCGGCATTGGCTAGTGTGTCTGTGTTGTAATTATTTAAATATAAATTTAAATACATATGTATTCAAGTAGTGATAGTTCTAAATTTCTAAAGCTCTCTCTCTCCATTTGCATATTGGTCTTGCATCATTTTGAATGGGACTAAATTGCTTCACTAATTTTTATGTAAGCTACTAGTATTTTAAATTAAGCTGTCAAAAAGTTACAACCATAATTTACCCAACAGAATTTCTGCTATGAACTTTACTACAAGCTACTGACCGAGTAAATAAATTCAAAATTCAAGTGGTGTAATTTATCTCAGAATTTCAGCAATTAGGGGTCCTATGCAATACTTCATGAAGTTGAAAACCAATACAGAGTTAAAATGATAGTACTGGAACAAAATATTCAGATTCTCTAATTACCTTATGTATGTTAAGACCTTGAAACTAATCTGAAGCATACTAGTGCATTAATACTAAGAGTATATAGTTCTGGCTTTGAGAAAGAAGATACACATTTGACAAAAAATGCTTATATCCATAATTAAAATGACCATTTAAAGGACAGGTTAGGGCACAGTGGGGACTATTGAGACACAAAGCAGAAAAATGAGCAGTGTAAAACATTTATTCAACAAGAAGATTTGGGTTGTTGTGAAAATTCCCCCCAGCCCAGTGTTAGAATGGTTAAACTCAAAACAAAACGTTTGGCAACTGTGTCCTGCTTGGAAATATTTATAGAAGGCTAATACTTAGCAGGTGGTAAAATTTTCCTACCATGGATCTCCAACCATTTTACAAAACATTAATAATTAAGATTCATAAAAAATTAATGTGCAGCTTTTCCAGATGCGTCTGCTGCTGTGGGCGGGCGGTTCGAAGCCCTGCTGTCTGGCCTCGCAGAGCCAGCTGCCACTTGGTGCCCCAGACTGGTCCCTGTCCCATCCAGAAAGGAAATCCTCAGAAAGCTGGCAGGTATTCAGAGATGTATGGAGGAACAGGGCGCCCTGCTTGCTCTGCGCTCATCTACTACCCCAACTTTTAACACTCTGATGGAGACATCTAACAAGCCCCCCAGAAATCGGCACCAAGGCAAACACAGAGACTCGTCAAATCTATTCCTGTGACTTTGTTAAGCATCATCTGCATTGGAGAAGGGAGGGAAATGTGGAAAGGTTAGAAAACTTACTTAAGGTTACACCACCAGTAGCTGGCAGAGCTGGAGCAAGAATCCAGAGTTGACTCTGAGCCTTCTGCATGCATCAGCCAGGCTGGCTTTTATTCCAGGGAGGTACAGTGCAAATGGGAAATGAGACACTGCAAAGGTATTAGGCAGCTGAACAGATTGTGAATGCTCTGGACAATCTTGTGATTACAGCCCTTGTGAGCTTTGCTTAACTGCTGGGTAAACTAGATTAAACGATAGGTACGAGACACCTAAGTGTAATGTGGTAGGGACAAACCTCTTTCCATCAGACAAAATGAAAGTTATTCTACAGAAATTAATAAAAATTATTTTATTTCTGAAAAATTTTTTATAGGAACCTGTGAAAAAAGCTTATTGTTGTGGGGGAAGAGAAAACTATTATAGAAACACAGTGAGATAAAGAAATATCAAAAGAAGTGATGGAATGGCCCAAGGGTGAGTATCAGTACTCAGTGTTTAATATCTGTCTGTAAAAGAATGATCAGTGCGGTGGCAAAGTTTGCAATATGACAAAATTGTTTGAGATAATTAAAACAAGGGAAGACCGAAGAGCACTACTGGGGTAGCTAACTGATGTCACTGAGCATCAGATGAAAATTAATGTGGGTTTTCATTTTTTCATTTTGGAAGAATTGCCTGAACCACTTATATGAGGAGAATCATGGATTCCAGCAACTCCGTAAGAGTCAGAAATCGAAATCCCTTTATTGTCGATACAAGTGCGCTTATATGTCTTCCTAGCAACTGATCACACATAAACAGAAGGCTTGATTGGTTACATGCATTCTTCACACACTGTTCACATGCCTAAGACTAACATTTGATTGATTATTACCTGCTGTCCATAATACACCAGACAATTCATTGGCTACAAGTTAGTTACTTCTATCCTAAAGCCGATTGGTTAATTAAATCTTACAAGCACAGACACAATGTTCTATACACTTTTAGCTCAAAGTAGAAAACTTTCCACTGTTTAAGAAACGACCAGATGTTTCCCATCAGTCATAGCCTGGCACGTTTTCTTCAGACAAAGCTCATCATCCTTATCTTGTTTTTTTACATTCCTGTTTGCTACTTCCAAAGCTTCTGGCCGACGAAGGTCAAGATGTTCTCATCATTCACCAGCTGTACAGTGCTCTCAGTTCTTCCTCCTCTTTTTGCGTCCCTTCTGTGATGCAGCCAAAGTCTTGCTCTTGTCTGACATGGCCATTGTCCTCCAAAACCAATCCCACACTTATATAGATATCAGAGCTCAGGATTAATGGCAACCAGTAAAAAATAAAGTTTTGAGTGGAAACTTCAGTGCAAATATAGGAGTGGTGTGGAAGAATTCATGGATTTATATGCTAAATAAATATGTGGTATGTTTATTTGGAACATTTTAGTTCTGGTTGTCATGTAAAAAGAATGAGCAGCAGAAAAGAATAATTTAGAAGCAACTGGGAAGAATGACATGGAAAAATTTCCATATAAACTTGAAATTAGGATTATCTAGATAAGCAGTGAATGGGTAACTGTAGAAGTGCACATTAAAAATAGTTAAGGGAAGATATTTCATGTTATTGTATTTTTAACTATGTTACAAGAGCAAGGAATTGTTCAATCAATCCAAATGTCAAACAAAAAATTAAAATTAATCATATTTAAATAAAGACAGAATGGAAAATGGATAGCAATGGATGCAATTCTAAACTATAATCCTGAGGCCAGGAGTAGAACCAGATGGAGGAAGTGAAAAGATATTTATGTCCTCAATTAGAACATAGTACAGTATGCATAGGACTGAAGAGGAAGGATAGTAAAATGATCATCATTCAGGGACTTAAAAACAAACATTAAAATAAGGAAACAGACTGTCTATTTCATCTTTCCATAAAGAAGAGGATATTGTTTTCCTCATCTGAAGCATCTGGGACTGTCAACAGCTGCTGACATGATTCTAGATTAGATGGTGTCATCTAGGCCTCCCGTTTGGAAGTCAAAGGTGCTAACTGGAGGAATCAATATGAACAAAATCCCAGCACATAGTGTCACTTTCATATTTTGGATGATCATATGCTTCATTTTGTTTAATCAGGAAATTTATTTTCACAAGTGGTTTATAAAATTGAACATAATAATTAGTTTAGGCAGTATGTTTATCCTTAGGTTCAGATATTTCAGTTTATAATGAGTGCTTTATAATTATTTTAAGTCTTAGTTAGCAGGAGACAGACAATGCATAGGCACAGAGGAGTTCCTTTTTCAGCACTGAAGAGCACATGACCTATATACATCTGCCATCTGCCTGTCTTTTACCCTAAGGTGAATCTGTCTCAGTAAAGTACAGCATAAAAGAAAGGAAATACAGGTATGGCCAATTTATTAATAACCAAAAATCCTCAACTGTCATAAAAACATCAGAACAAGGATCAGAACAAAGTGGTTCTGCTGTTGCACCATGACCATGGCTGTAACTATCTGAACAAACCAGACATTAAAAATATTTCCATTTAAAATAAACAATCATTTGCAGAATGACAGGTACGTGGAGACTCTTGTCCCCATCTTTGTTTTGTTCATGTCTGCTTTAATGGCTGGCTTTTCTGGCCCAATGAAGAAAAAAATCAGAAAGTGTCTAAGATGTGTCCAAGATCATAGTCTTGTCCTTTTGTACTGCTGAATTTATGTCTTTTCCATTTTCCTAATAGTGTGGATGTCCACAGACTGAGAAGTCTCATACACTGTGTCTTGTCAATTGATCTTAAATTTTAAAGGGCTTGAGGCAATGTGATATAAAGGCCATAAATCTCCTGGAAGACAGCTTTTACTTTTTGATGTAATTGGAGTGGAGGCAAAAATTAAGCAGTACAGATTGTGAGAAGATGTCAGTTGCACAGTTTAGTTTGAAGACCTTTTTTAGCTTTTATTCCCTTCAGAAAGAGATCACATGCTGTGGGTGCTGGGCAGGCAGAATGCATAACTAAGGGGACCTGTGTGGTGACCTGAGTCCTCTTGGTCATGTGTGATGCAGCAGTACCTCAGATTGCACCATCATGCAGAAGTGGGTGCCCTGACTACAGGTTGTGAATCCCCATTCACCTGGGGCTGCCTCTGGCTCAGTGTAACTGGGTATAAATAACCATGAGTTTCCTAATTTGGCTGTTATAGAAACCTTCCCCCCACACCCCACCATATTATTTAAACACCTTAGTAAAAGTAGTCACCTTGCCCCTGTGAAAGGGCTAGCTGTCAGCAGAATGGGGTCACACATGAACTCACAGAGAGCAAAGTTTGTAGAGACCTTGCTGTGTGCTGAAGAGTTTGTATTTTTCTCATAATGAGGGATAGTATTTTGTGTTTAAAACATAGGTCAACTAGCATTTAAAGAGTTGCATTTAAGTAGTTTGCTGTAGCAATTCAGTCCTTTTGTGTTTTTTTGTTTCCCCCCCCCCCCCCCCCCCCCCCGAAAAAAACCTACTGATTCCTATCTTCTGCTATATTATTCAGCAGGTAGGGAATTTTGCTGAGGATGTACCAGCATTACGGCTTCCCAGACAGGAGCACTCAGGTGTAGCTAACAGCTGCACCACGGCAGCTGAACTGGGACCCCTTTGCTCTCCTGACAGAGCTGATCATGCTCCACCTCGGCACTCCAAAGACAGTGGAGTTTGCTCACACTCCACCAGGATGAAGAAAGTAAGAGATGTTAGGCAGAGGAAGATACACGGGCATGTTTCTACTCAGCCATTTGCTGCTCTATAGTATGAAGTCACACTGGGTAAGTGCACTCTACCTCTGCCAAAAGCCCAGTTAGCTATTTCCACAGCATCTCTCGAGACATAAAAGTGTTGTTCCAGACCTGCTCAGGCATTAAAGGGTATTTAGAAATATCTTTATCTTCTATTTCATGTTATAGTTCTTGCTCTAGAGAACTGAAGTTGTTTGGATATAGGTTGGTGAGAGTCCTTATTATATGATGTTCACAGCCTAGCTCCCTAAATATGAAGGGATTCTAATCTGAGAGCTTGGTCTTCCATTATGGAAACAAGGCTTATAGTTATATCGAGCCTTTTCTTAGTTCTGTATTTTAAAACCAATACTTACAGCCTTTCAAAGTTTAATTTCAGGTTTTTAGTACTCCTGAGCTTTATTTGTCCTCTCTTTGGTCCAAAAATATATAGCTTTATTCTTTTTTTTTGGACCTATAAATAAAAATGCTTTTCTCTTAATCTCAGAGTCTATGATTCTCTGTCTGTATCAGTCCTGATCAAAGTTACACCTTTGAACTTTAAAATCTTATTGATAGATTATTCCTATATTATTATATGTGCCTCATTCTGATCTTTAACAAATTTCTTACATTCTTCTCATACCTACTTCTCATCCCTTCCCTCTCTGTTCAGCTTACCTTGCAGTCTGCAAGAACCTCACTCTGATGGAGTATCTGTCTTGACTCCCACTGCTGGGACCTTTTCTTTAATGGACAGTTCAGGTTTCCAGAGTTTCTTGATTTCCCTTTGAGTGATCCTGTCTGAGAAGTATCACCCCTTTCAACTCAGCCATTACCACCTACCAATAGTAAGGCTTTGGGGATTCTTTTTTTTTTTTTTTTTTAAAGCTATACCTTTGTTGCATTTAAAGTCTATAGATTTTAATAGCCGAGTCATTAAAAAGTCACAGAGTGAAAGCTGTAAGAGTAATATACAGAATCTTAACTTGGCTATTAAAGGAGAATGGTTTCTAAACATAAGAAGTATTGTCAGTGAGACACTGCCTGGGGCCCTGGAAACACTCCAACCTATAGTGTTAGAGCTTTTAAGGGTGGCAGTAGGGGATGTGCAATTACATCTCTACCTACAGTTCCACTTACATGACTGTTGTGGATCAGCTAGCTAGCAGTGCCGGAGACAAATGTCATGAGCAAGAGGTGACAGACCACGATGATTAGACAGTTGCCTGACATGAGGATATAGTAAGAACCTTCCAACCTCTAGGGCCACGGTGCACGTGCTGTTACCTCTCCCTTTACCTGTCTTCTCTCACAGGAGAGTTTCTAAGATGGTGTCACAAAGTCTTTTTTATGTTGGAGTGATTAGAAGATGAGTCTCACCGGCTTTGATTAAATCAGATTCAGCAAGGTTAAAGCAACCACTTTAACCATCTGGTCTGGCAGACTGGGAGAGAATCTTTTGTTTGTCTGTCTGAGCTGACTTAGATGTTCCCCTCCCAGAAATCCAGCTGATTTGATAAGGATTTGGGAGATTCAGGTCCCAAGTCCAGTTTCTGGGGGCGTTAACATTCAGTTAGCCTGGCTCTTGTGATCGGAACTAATGGACACTACCGACTTACTGTGCACTCAAGAAACCCCTGGCCAAAATGCTGTTAGGACACTGCAACTCTGACTGAAACAAGACTGTAAAATTGGTTGCTGGAGGGCTCCAGACAGACTGCCTCTCTCATTCCTATGTCAGATATATTGCTTTGTCAGATACCAGCTTAGCAAATGCATCCTGCAAGTTAAGACTCCGTTTCTCTATAGCTTGTGAACAACCAGCAACAAGATTTCTGAATTTGGGATGCAGTTAATGGGATTCATTGCGATTCTTGAGGTCTAATGATTCATAAAGACACCTCAGTTCAGTCTCCCAGAGGTGTATGCAGTACTTGCAAAAACAAAAAGTAGTAAAGACTAACATTGGTCTATAAAGATTTGGTGACTCAATCTATAAAGGGAGCAGACAAATTCATCTGAGAATTGCTATTTCTAAAATAATTTCCTGCCATGACTGTGTTACAGGTTACTTTATTGGGAGATGCTGTTTACACAGAAATAAAAGCATGTAATTTCAAATTTCATATCAGGCTATTTAATTTCACAATGAGCAAAGACAAAATTCAAAATATACATAGGATAAGTTGCTTGTATCAATGTTCAAAGGCAAAATACTGAAACCAGTAAAGTTCCCTAAATAAACCCCCATGGAGGAAACCCTGTGTTTAAGAAGGCAATTGTTTTTTGATGAGCCTGAGAAAAATGTGGGGTTTTCCTCCAGCCCAAATACTGTCAAAAAAATACTCATATATGTATGTTCTCTCGCTGTTTGGTAGGAAGATTGCTACAAGCCTTGCTTATCTGGATATTTGTGATGTACACATTATGCCATTAACTCAAAATGTATTGCTGGCAGTAATGGAATTTTGTAGAAAGTATGTAAATTTATGTTTATATTGTTTAAATTTTTCTGATTTACCCATTAAACTTGATGATTATTTTGTCTGGCGCACTTGGTGATGTTTTATGTGTATCCTATTACTGAAGATACAATGATAAGTACCTCTAATGGGCAGAGTGAGGGAAGTGCCAGCAATATTTACAATATATTTACCATATTAGATGACTTGCAGGTTATCTATTCTCTATTAACCTACCTAATATCCAAGAGTTAAATCAGAAGAGGGCAGTAAGGGAAAATTACACAGGAGATGAAACAATGAGAAAAATATTCCCTAAGGAAAAATAGCAGAGTGAGGAAAAAACCCCAAACCCATATGCCTGTCTTCATCCAGTCTAGGAGTGTTTACTCTTCCCAAGGCTTGAAATAAAAGAGAATGTTTAAACCTCACAAATTGTCATGCCAGGAGTAAGAAGTGGGTTGTCAGCAAATAGAAGCTGGTAGTCACACAAAGAGAGAGGTGGGGAGAGAGACAGACACAGTGAATATAACACCTTGTTAATTCAGAGGTGGGTAGAATTGGGTGTCCCGGAGCTAAGGGTGGTAGAGATTAAGCCAGGGTAAGGAGATGTACATCTACGGACATCAGTCACTGTGGGAGTGCACTTTCCCAAATCTCTTGTACCTCTCAGGGAAATGAATTAGCAGTGCTGTGTTTCATGGCATCAGTTTGCGATGACATTGTCAACTTGGTTGGGTACCTACACCCCTTCTGTTACAGTGATTGCCTGGTTTCACCCGGGTGGATATGCAGGGAGTCATACCTGTCACCTGCCAGTGTAGTCAAAAGAGACAAAACAGGCATTGTTTCCCTAGGATATATACCCATATGAAATTAAATGTATAAAATGATATACTTAGAGCACTGCAAATATCTCAATAGCAACTGATTCAAATTCTAAACCAGTTGGTAATTTCTTTTGAAAAATTAAATTGCAATCTAGACAAGAGACTTATTTACTGAGTTACAAGTCATACTGAGATATAAACTTTTTCAAAACTAAAAAATAATCATTATTATTATTATTATTAAAATGGCATTGTTGCTTCATAACCCCTCATAAATGCAGTGATGTTTGATTTATAAAAACTGGCATGTAGTTCCCTGTATTCCAACTAATAAACATTTGAAACAGAAAGAGAAAGATTTTAATGAGAGCACTTTTACTTTAACCAAAGTTCCACTTTTTACCTCTGGAGTGTATAAAAAATGCCACATTGGGTTTTAGTTTTGTTTGGTTTTTTTTTTTTTTTTTTCTTTCATTACTGTACTCCTTTCAGCAGCCTAGTGTTGTTCTGACCTTTGTGCACCCAGAGTTGTTCAGATGTCATCCTTGCTAGGACGCAGGAGAGGTTCATTGCTCTGTCAGAAAGGGAAAATCTCTTCTCTGCCAAATCTCAGACAGGACCTGAGCTTGAGGACTCAGGTTTGTGGATCCCAGTTTTCTCCTGAAAGGAAAAACTTCTAACAAAGAACAGCCTAAAACCTTTGTCTCCGTAAGGATTTTTGTTTAAAGAAATGGAGGCTTTTTTCAGGTAATGTCTCATTCACATTGTGACTGTCCTGGCTATATGGTTCTTTAGCTTAATCTCTCATCCTTATTACCAAGTTTACTCCTGTCTCTGAATTAGTAGATCCACTGTTCCATGCATATCTCTTATCTCTGGGAAGAAATTGAAGTACCAAACCTTCTTTTCCATCACTGCTTCCTTCCCCATGGCACATCAGTCCCTCTGGAAGGGCAGCTGCTTCTGCAGTGTTGATAGTTATTGCTTGTGTACATTTGGAAATTGCAGCCTGATCTACAAAGATTGATTGCTATCATCATGCAAGTGTTAGAAAATGGAGCTGAATATTTTAGACCAATTACTGGCTGCACTTAACAAGTATGCAGGGTTAGGGAAAGAGAAAAGTTTAGCCTGACCCCTGCACACTCTCATTACCATGTAAGCATGGACACCAATACCACCATATATGTTTTCCCCTAAACTGGGGTAGTTTTGGGCCTGGAGCATTGTCCTAGTTGCGCCTGGGATAGAGCTAATTTTTTTTCTTAGTAGCTAGAATTGTGTTGTGTTTTTGATTCAGTATGGGATTTGGTATGAGAATAATATTGAAAACACACTGATGTTTTCAGTTGTTGCTAAGAAATCAAAGACTTTTCAACTTCCCATGTCCTGCTAGCATGCAGGTGCACAAGAAGCTGGGAAGGAGGAGCAATAGAACCAAATTGGACAATGGAATATTCCATACCATATAACCTCATGCTCACTATCTAGATAAGGGTTGGTTGGGATGCTGGCTCTTTTCTTGGATTGTGGTTTCAGGATTTTCCCTCCTCTGGGATCACTAGCCAGGAACAAGCTGTTCATTGTTTGGCAGGTGGTGAACAATCACATTGTGCATCACTTGTTTGTATATTCTATTATTACTATTATTATTATCATTATTATTTTAATTTTATTTAATTTCAATTATTAAATTCTTGTTAACTCAACATACAAGTCTCCTTACCTTTAGCGCTCCAATTTTCTCCTTCATGCCCTGGGGTAGGGAGAGGGTGAGTGAGCGGCTGCATGGTGCTTGACTTATGGCCTGGTTCAAACCACAACAAGCATACATTTTATCTTTCAAAAACATAGCTCTTACTATCCCTGAATTTTCTATCTACTGAGCATCACTAGAGTGTCACTAGAAGCATCCTGGCAGTATTTTTAGGTACCCTAATTGCCTTTAGGAGTTACTGATTAACTCGCCTTCTTATTCTTATACCTCATTATGGGATCACACACTCCAGTGAGAGGCTACAATACATCTATCTGTGTTGAAAAAAGTAGCAGTCCAGTTTAAAGTCTAGGGAACAAACAGCTCACTTTTTTTTGCTGCCTAAGCAATTATTTATACTGTATAAAGTAGCAATTATATGCTGCTCCTGAGAATAGTTACCTGTATTCACTTGTCAGTGCTGTAAGGGGCAGTCAGTGTTGAACCTGAGTATAAAAGACCCATCAAATAGATTTTCATTACCTCAGACTTTTGACAGAATTTTCACTTTTCTGGAGAGAATTTCTTCCATATATCATTAAATTGAATGTTCTTGAGCTTGTATTGTGTGATACTGAAAGTTTAAGCTAAATATTGAGTGTAATGCAAATCTGTTTTGTAAGTTGCAATTTACTGTTTGAAGATGAGTTTGATGTAGCTCATCTAAATAATGGTTTTGTTCTTAAGTGAGCTAAGGGCAGTGCTTTCCCAAAGCACCAAATTAGGAAGCAGGAGAGCACGTAGGAGTTT